CAGCTTGACTGACTTGGAAGCGTTCCTGTCAGTATAAAACATCTTGTTGGGGATGGTGGAGAAGCTGAGGCCGGCTGCGCGGCTGTGCTTCCAGCTCATGGCCAGGTCCTAGTCCCGCTGCAGGCTCTGCTGCAGGCTGTCGGCCACCTTTTTGCTGAGGGCTATGTTGGACCTTGCAATCGGGCTGGATGGGGCCGGAGGGTGGGGGTGGGGGCTAATCGCAGGGGGACAGGTTTTTGAAGCCACCCAAAAGTTTGAGAAATTTCAGTTTCTGTTGCTCGTTTTCAAAACCAGCGGTATCCCACTGGCCAAACTGGGTTCCCGTCCACTCCCTGGTTTCAGAAGCTTCCGTTTTGCCTGACTCGCGATCAGTCTCTTCTTGCAAGGTGTTTCGTCTCACCTGGTCTATGTGCGCCTCGTCCGTGTTGCCTTTCTTTTCCAACACCACTTCTAAGTCCGTGTCTGTTTCCTCCTTTCAAAGTTCTCCTGCTACCCCACTCTCTTTCCTCTTCTTTTTCTTCCTTTTCAGAGCCGGCTCCTCAATGACTGACGCTCTACCTTCTTCTTGGACTTCATCTTTTTCTTCGCAGGAGCCTTAGGGCCATCTCCTATGGGGATGTATTCCGGAGCCTCCGCTTTGACTGGTTTCTTTTTACTTCGTTTCCTAGGGCAGCTCTCCATGGACCTGGAGGGCCTTGGAGTGGCCTGGGAGGGCGTCTCCCTCCTGGTGGATTTTTTTTCTTCTTCTTCTTCTTCACCTTCCCACTGTGTTCCCTGGGGCTCTTCTGCTTCCGCTTCTGCCCCAAGGCTACCTATTCCTCACCCTCTTTCCCCACTGAGCAAGTGTCCACAGCATCCCCGACCTCGCAGAACCAAGGGTCCGGGACTGATAAAGCTGTGGGGTCCTGGGCCCCCTTTTTTTCCTTCTTACGTTTTTGAGCTTCCTGCCAACTCTGGTTTCCTCCTCACCCTGGCTGGGTCTGGGGAGATTTTCACCCCAGAGGCATGGGACATGGCCAGAGGCGACTTCTTTTTCTTCTCCCACTGAGGAACTACAAGTGGCCAAGTACCCGCTTCCTTGGGCTGGATGACTTCTCTGTCCGCCTGGCACACAGCGTGGTCTCAGTGTGGTCTACGTGCTCCTCGCAAAGGGTGCTGACACCCTTCTCTTCTTTTTCTTCACTAGAGGCATCTCAGGTGATCACCAAGACCTGACTTTTCACACAAAATAATTTGTAACCTCTAGCATAAATGGGATAATCAAAGCAAGTGTGGCAGTTTTGTGGGGACCCACTCTTAGACGGGGCTGTGGCTTTTATAGGAGAAACATGGGCAAAGTAATCATCATTATTTAAAATTGAGTATTGAGTCCCTGGTTCTTTGACCACTTTCTTCTTTTTCTTCTCTAGGAGCCCAGGGCCCAGGTCTACTTTGTGTGTCTTGGCGATCATTCCGGTGGGCCAAACTTCCCCGCCTCCACGTGAAAGCCGGCTCCGCCCTGACCCGGAAGTCCACTTTGGAGTTGCACGCGTGGCTTCTCTTATACACAAATTTTCTTCCATCTCTGCCACCCCTGAGACAGCAAGACTGCTACCTTATTTTCCTCCTCCTCCTTAACCTACTCAACATGAAGATGATGAGGATGACCACCTTTAGGATGATCCACTTCCACCTAATGATTGGTAAATAAATTTTTTCTTCCTTAAAATTTTCTTAATATTTTCTTTTCTTTAGTTTACTTTATTGTGAGTATATAATATATATAATACAAAATATGTGTTAATCGACTGTTTATGTTATTGTTAAGAATTCCAGTCAACAGTAGGCTATTAGTAGTTAAGTTTTTGCATAGTCAAAAGTCATACACAAAATTTCAGCTGCATGTGGGAACAGCGCCTCTAACCCCCACACTGTTCGAGAGTCAACTGTAATTGGATTAATATCTGCCATATCTGTAACTATTTTCTCTTTATTGAATTTCTTATTTCTTTTTGCCCCTTCTTTTCCTGCATTTACTGGTTTAACTGAGCATTTTATATGATTTCATTTTATCTTCTCTCTTCATGTATAAATCATACTGTTTTTTTAAAACTGTGGTTTTCCCTAGATTTTAAGATATGAGTTTTAAAATAATCTACGTCTGCCTTCAAATAATGCTATTGCACTTCAAATGTAGTGAAGGTTCCCTACAGAATAGTATTCCCAGTTCTTCCTTTCTGTCCCTTGTGACATTGCTGCCATTCATTTAATTTAACCATTTGCTATAATCACCCAAAACATTAATAACATACTATCATTTCTTTATACAAACTATTATTTTTTAGATCACTTGATAATTAAAAAACTTTATTTTACTTTCCTTTATTACTTCTCTAATTCTCTTCCTTTCTTTATATAGTAGACTCAAGTTTCTGACCTTTCTCATTTTCCTTCTGCTTGAAGAATTTCTTTTAATATTTTTTGTAGGTCAGTTTGCTAGGAATGAATATCTTCAGTTTTTGTTTGTCTTAGAAAGTCTTTCTTCTTCACTTTTGAAGGACAAAGTTTGCTGGGTATAGAATTCCAGGATGGTGGAATTTATTCTTGCAACGCTTTAAATTTTTTACTTTACTCTCTTGCTTCTCTGGTTTCTAATAAGTCCACTGTAATTCTTACCTTTGCTTTTCTGGCTTATTTCCTGTCATCTGGCTTCTTCTAAAAGAATTTTCTCTGTGACTTTGGTTTCCTGCAGTTTGAATATGGTATGCCTAGATAGGGGTTTTTAAAAGTATTTATTCATCTTGGTGTTATCTGTGCTTCCTGAATTTGTAGTTTGGTAACTGTATTAATTTTCCAGGGCTGCCATAACAAATTACCTATCACAAACTGAGCCATTGATAACAACAGAAATGTATTCCCTCACAGTTCTGGAGGCTGGAAGTCTGAAATGCAGCTGTTAGCAGGGCCATGCTCCCTCTGAAACTTCTCTGGGGAGAGAATCCTTATTTGCCTCTTCCAGCATCTGGTTGCTGGCTATCCTTGGCATTCCTTGCTGGTAGCTGCATCATTTCAATTTCTGCCTCTATCTTCACATGGCCATCTTTCCTCTGTGTGTGTCTATGTCATCACATTACCTTCTTATAAGGATAGCATTCATTGGATTTAGGGCCCACCCAAATCCAGTATGACTTCTTCTGAACTAATTACATCCACAAAGACCCTATTTTCAAGTAAGGTCACATTCTGAGGTTTGGCATGGAAATTAATTGGGGTGGTGCAGTCTTCAAGCCCGTACAGTGTCTGTCATTAACTTTGGAAAGTTTGTGACCAATATTACTTCAACTGTTTCTTCTGCCTGTTCTTACTTTCTTCTTCTTCTGGTATTCCAGTGATGCATATGTTACATCTTTGAAATGATCTCACAGTTCTTGGATGTTCTATTCTGTTTTTCATTCTTTTTTTTTTCCTCTTTGCATTTCAGTTTAGGAAGTTTCTATTGACCTATGTTCACTATTTCTCTGTTCAGTCACATCCAATCACTGATGAACTCATGAAAGCCATTCTTCATTTCTGTTCTGGTGCATTTGACTGTTAACATTTCCTTTTGATTCTTTCTTACAGTTTCCCCTTTTCTCTTTCATTGCCCATCTGTTATTTTATGTTGTCTTCTTTTCCGTTAGAGCCCTTAGCATATTAATCATAGCTATTTTAATTTCCATCTGATCATTTCAATCTCTAATATCAGAGTCTAATTCTAATGATTGCTTTTTCTCTTCAGACTGAGTTTTTCTTGCCTTTTGGCATGCCTTGTAATTTTTTTTATTAAGAGCTGGGCAGGTTGTACTGGATATTAGGAACTGAGATAAATAGGGCTTTCCCATGAGTATTTATATTAATATAGCTAGGAGTCAGGCTGGATCTGTGTTTGATGTAGCTGTACATGACAGAGGCTTTAAATTCTTCTAGCATTCTTGCTTTTGTCTCTCCTGACTTTGGGCTTCTCTAAATATTCTTCCCAGAGAAATATCTCTATCTTGCACTATAATCCACTGTTATTGTACTAACACCCTATTATGGTGGTGGTAAAGTGTGGGTGAGGGGAGAACATTCTATAATCTGATGAAATCTGTTTTTTAGCGGGCCTGTGTCTTGGATCTGAGACCATCACAAGCGTTTCTCCTGTGGTATAGTTTCCCTATCTCGCTCCCTGTCCCCTAGCTCCCCACTCCTTTTCCTGGCTGCAGGGTTCCCCATCCATTTCCTTGAAGCCCTACTATGTTTTCCTCCTCTTAGGTGAGATAGATGAGACCACAAGGCTAGAGGGGACTGCAGCGGGAGAAATGTTCTTCTCCCAGCAGGAATAAGGCTCTGGTAGAAAAGACTTTTGTTATGGAGAAGGCTCTGAGTGTGCTATTTCACAGTGATTACCTATCTACTACCTTGCCAAAGCTAGGAGAATATGGATCTTCATCATGAGAACCTGGTGGGGTTCCCGGGTCACCAAAGTTGGGTGGGTGCTGTTTAAAATAGAACATTTCTAACTCTCATACTAGTCCAAAGTTGGGTGGGTGCTGTTTAAGATAGAACATTTCTAACTCATACTAATCCAAAGTTGGGCGGGTGCTGTTTAAGAAAGAACATTTGTAACTCTCATCCTAGTTCACACACAGCCTCCAGCAAGTCATCAAAATTACCATTTAAATGTTTCTGCAAATGTATGGCTTACCTTAATCTTCTGGTTCAGGTAAGCACATTTTGACTGTGATTCTCTGGATGTGCCTGGCTCTCCAGATTTTAGAGTAATGGTTTGCCCTGAGACCTGTTTTCTGATGGGTCCCAGAAAAGTCACTGAATTTTGGAGTGATGACTTCTAACCTTTATATGTGTCAGAGCTGAAACCAGAAACCTATCTGGAGTTATTTTTAATAATTTATTCATAATCTAATTTTCCGCTTATTTATAATAACAAATTTAAAAATTCTTTAAAACATTCAACAATTGTTTAAATTTTTCTTCACATATCCGGTCCCATTTTCTTGAATATCAATGCATACCACTGAGATTTGTTGTTGTTTTGCCTTTCCTGGCATTTCTATGAGGCAGATATGAGCTGTGTGACCTTGGGAAAGTTACTTATCCTCTTCGTGCTCCAGTCTCCTCATTGGTAATATACAGTATTAATAGTACTTGTCTTTTAGGATTATAATGGAGATTAAATGAGATAATGTATATAAAAGCTTAGCACCATAAATACCTGGCACCAAAAAAAAAATGTTCTCAATACATGTCAATTCCTTATTAACACTTTTATTGTCAATCTCATTCTCCAAATAGAAAAAATAAAGTTAAAAATTCTTTTCAAAAATTCACTTGTTACTTCTGGATTGTTTGTTTTAGAATTTTCTTCACTTCGACCTGCAGCTGGTAGCTAAGTGTAGGAGCCATGGACTTGACCACACTGGAACTTGGTCAGACAAAGTACCATCATCCTAATTGTGTGCCAGGACCACAGTTCACTGAATTAGTTCCTCTGAAGTTTCCTTTCTCCTCCTACATGCCAGCAGCATAATACAGCACAGACAATTGCTTCAAATCAATTCAATATGAAAGTGGCCCCTGGAAAAAGGCACTAAATATTCCAGTTTTCTAGTCTTTTGCAACATTTCGAAATTCAAAAAAAGATTTTTAGTCTTCAATTATCATAGAAATGTTGTATTTTAAGATTTCAACTGGTGTATTTTAATTTTATTTTCTTAAGAAGTAATCCTCTCTCAATTTTGCTAGTATTGTATTATATTGGGGTATTGGTGGTAGAAGGAAGATGGGGTGAACAGTTTCAAAAAAGATTTTGCATGATTCAAAACTGTATAACCATAAGCTTATTTCTAAAACTCCATTTACAGCAGGGACCAAGGCTGGAAGTTCTGACAATGGCCTTAGGGGAGCATTCTCTCCTGAAAACTGTGGAGCTGAATGATGATGAACACCAGTGCTAACCGGGCACATTTAAAGAAATTCAACTTTAAAGGATGACTGAATCTTAAAAAGTCTTTACATGAACTTCCAATAGGCAGGTTTTTTGCATTTATATGTAGAAGACAGAAGAGTTCCAGTTTCTGTGTCATAATTTCTTACACTTTTTTGTTACATTCAATTCCATGAGTCTATTTTACTCTTCATACTATCTTTCCTGTCTCTTGAAATTACGGTAAATTTTCATAAACATATAAGTGTTTTGTTGTTCAATGCTTTAATGCTGTTAGTGGGACAGCAAAGGTTTGTCTACCTAGTACGTTCCAAGCTAATAGTCTCTCCAAGAATGATGGTTTTCTAGGCTTTTATTTAATACATCCAACAATGGAATTCAATACCTCTTGGTTATTTCTACGAGTGTATACCATCTTTAATTTGGACCAGTTGTTTTTATAATCCAATAGCACTTGATGTAATTACCTTTTAAGGTTATGAAGTCCTTTTGTAGCTGTCACCTCATTTGATCTTTATAACAATGAGTGAGCAGGGGAGGGCAAGCAGCTGTTGCTAGATCCTGAATAGCCAAATGCATGTGCTCTTCTAGAACTGTATCAAAGCAGTCTTCTAGGAATGGTTTTTACATAAGGGTCTGATGTCTCCTGGTGAGATGTACAGAGGATTTTGCATTCCATGTTTCTAGGATTCTCATTCCAAAGAAGAGATCAAGTTTGCTCCCAATTTTTAGTAGTAGGGGTGCATAGAAATTGCTAAATGTAGGGTACTCCAGAAGGCATAGAACTGACTCTGAAGGAGAAAAAAACGACATTAGTCACCATTAAGGAAGGTCTTTCCTAAATAAAATTAATTCCTGGTTCAAAGTAATCCCCCAACCCCCTAGTTAGCTGATCATGATCATTGTACTTTCTTTTATTTTCTTCATAGCACTTACCACTCTCTGATCTTTTTTTTTTTTGACAGGGTCTCGCTCTGTTGCCCAGGCTGGAGTGCAGTGGCGCAATCATAGCTCACTGCAGCCTTAGTCTCCTGGGCTCAAGCGATCTTCCTGCCTCAGCGTCCCAAGTAACTTGGGAGTAGCTACCACATCTGGCTACCTTTTTTTAATTTTTTTTTTTTTTTTTGCAGAGACGAGATCTTGCTATGTTGCCCAGGCTGGTCTGATCTTCCTGGATGTTATTGCTGACTTCCTTTGCATCTGTCTTTCTCCTCTAGAATTCCTGATTTCTTAGAGCACATATTTGATCTTTTTTTTTTTCTTCTTTTTTTGTATCACTGAATCCCTAGCCTCTAGAATGATAAATGGCAAATAGTAGGTGCTCCGAAAGTATTTCTCCTTGCAACATCAGCTCCAGATCTGGGTATGAATAAACTTAAGGGTAGTGTCTATTAAATGATCTTTATGCTGATCTTCAGGGAGCTTGCTGTAATTCCTTAGCCAAGATGACTATAAAACTCTTGCTCAAAAATCTTTAATGAATAATTTCAGTTGTTCATATAAAAACCTCTTGTTCATTCAACCAAGTCCTGATCACTGAATGCCTAAATTTCTCTTAATTCTGTTTGTTTTTCTCACTTTCTCTGTCCTCAAGTGTGGCAATTATGGGAGAACCTGCTTTAAAAAGTATAGTTGGCTGATCACCTCCAGCAGTAGAAACTGCTTATCTGCCATGCATTCCTGCTGAGACTATGGTCTCTCTGGATTGCTTTCAAACAATAACTGAGCATGTTGGGGCTACTAGAGCTAGCCCTTCTACTCCCAACACAGAACTTTTCTATGAACAATCTTTATTCAGGATACTCAAATCCCGACTGATATGGTTGACTCTGTGTCCCCACCCAAATCTCATGTTAAATTGTAATTCCCAATACGGGGGGAGGGACCTGGTGAGAGGTGACTGGATCATGGGGACGGATTTCCCCCTTGCTGTTCTCGTGATAGTGAGAGAGTTCTCACGAGATCTGATGGTTTAAAAGTCTGTAGTGCTTCTTCCTTCGCTCTCTCTCCTGCTCTGCTATGGTAAGACATGCTTGCTTCCCTTTTGCCTTCCACCATGATTATAAGTTTCCTGAGGCCTCCCAGCCATGCTTTTTGTATAGCTTGCAGAACTGCAAGTCAATTAAACCTCTTCCTATTGTAAATTATCCAGTCTCAGTTAGTTCTTCATAGCAGTGTAAGAACAGATAATACACTGACCAAGCCAGACAAGATTTTCTCAGAGTCACAGTGCCATCTAAGGCCCTTCCCATCCAATCCTGCTTCCTTCCCTCTGTCCTTTCCTAGGTATCACACTGCATCACTGCCTGCCTAAACCTGTTCTCACATCCCTCACAGGCATTTCTGCACACAAATCTCTTGCATGTCTAATTCCATCTTAGCATCTGCTTCTTGGAGGACCAAATCTGCCATAGCACCGTATTCCAGGCCATCTGCGTTTTTGTGTGTCACTGCAGCAGCCTTTTTACAGTCCCACACCTTTAATTTTTCTATCAATTCTCCACATTGCAGCCAGAATGATCCTCAGAAATTCCAAATCTCATCCCTTCCTTCTCTGCTTACACTTGCAGGATGAAGAAACTTCTTTAAAGATGTCTATAGGACTTATCTTCTAGTCTTACTCTCCTGTCTGTCCCTTTGCCCCTCCTCATGGCTCTGTAATCTAAGTCAACCTATTTGCAGTTCCACTAATGAGCAGAACATGTTCACATCTGGTACTCAGATCCAGGGTTTTGGAGTTGTACTCCTTCCTTTCACCTTTTCTCTGCTTCCTTTGGCTCACACCTATTCATCCTTCATCTCCCAGCATGGATGGAATTTCTTCCAGAGAACTTCCTTGCTCTTACCAAGTCTGAGTTAGGTACTCTCTCTATGTGTTCTTATATCATTTTTCATTTCCCCTTTATATTAGTTACTACTCTTTAGCACATGGCAAAAACTGAACTTGAGCTAACCAGAGCCAAATAAAATTCGTGAAATCTACTGGAAAGATACTAGAGTGGATCAAAATTAAGGGAAGAACCAAAAAAGGAACAATGGAAAGGCAGCTCAGATGACCTCTTGAGCTGGAATAATGGGCTTAAATGCCCTCGGAACCTTTCTTCCTCTCTTTCTGTGCGTCTGACTCATTCTTTTAGGTTGGTTGCCTCCATAAACTTGGATTCATGGCTGACAGCAGCTCCTGGGCTTACATCCTCACAGCTTGGAGCCTGAGCGGAAGAAAAAGCTATTTCTTCTAGCTACAGATAAAGACAAACAAAAACCAGCAAAGACTCTGATTGGCCAGTTTATTTTGTGAGTCCACTTCTTTCCCAGTCACTTGCCCTGGGGGGTGAGCAACTATACTATTGGACCATACCATTGAAGATATAAGTTTAGATCTTATATTCAGTCCTCAACCAATCACTCTCTTCAAGGAAGAACATGAAAGAAAAGGACTATACTACTAAAGCAGTGGGAAAACCCACTCCCCTAAAAAATAGAGATTTTCAGAAGATGAGGAAGATGCTAGATTGAAAGAAAAATATGTATCTATCTATAAAGCTTAATAACGGCATTCAGTTACAGGTAACAGAAAACAGCAAAATATTGGCCCCAAAATAAGGGTTTTATTTGCCTCCATAATAAGAAGTCCAGAGGTAGGCAGTCAATGGGTCTTGGAAAACTTTCTAATCACTTCTAGAATCCAGGTCACTTCTGTATTCCTTCTGAGCCATCCTTAGCGTGCGCTTGTCACTCCTAGCCATGAAATCGCTACTCTAACTTCCAACATTATGCCCAAGTTTCAGGCAAGAAGAAGGGGAAGGGCAAAAGCACATGCTAAGTCTGCTTGCCTTTTGAAGAGCTTTAATAGAAACTCAACTTAAAGACTTTTCCATTGGCCAGAATTGTGACCCTTGACCATCTCCAGCTGTGGGAGAGGCCTGGAAGTATAGGATGTTAGCTAGACACACTGTTGACCCAAATCATGACTCTTAATGAAAAGAGGAACATAGACACTGGGTAGGCAATTAGTAGTGCCTCTCTATCTTGTACGCCAGACAATCAAGTTTGGCTGAAAGGGTAAAAAAAAAAAAAAAAATTACTTCCAGGACTCCTTAAAAATATCATTCACAGATGGCTTTCATAGAAGGTGACAACAACAGTAAAAAATGACTACAACGTCTGGGGCTTACAAAGTACCTGGGACCAACACAAAGGAAGTACTTGGGGTGGAGGGTGGGAACCCTAGTAATTGATGATGCGGGACTGTGTTCCGGCATGACATTTCTTAAGTGACTGGGATTTGATCTTACCCTCCTGTTACAAGCTGATATGTCTGCCTACCACGGTTTCATGGATGTTGTCACAGAACATATGAGATTCCTGAGTCAGACAAAGGACTATCCCCCATGGCAGAGCAAGCAGCGTGAGCATCATCATGCTTGCATTGGTTCCCCAGGGGAGACACTGAGTTTGGGAATCCACCATTTTAATTGAAAGCAGTAAGCAAGTCTGCTTTTTGTCTGGGAGGGAGACATTACTTATCCTCTAGGTTGCTGCCTGCAAACAACCTGAGTAATGGTCTGGGTAAAGAGCAATCAGGGCATTGCATTTTTGGCAGGCCCAACAAGATGAGCAGGGATGCAAAAGCCTATAGGAGGACTGTTTCTTAAAGCAATTCATCCCTCAATCCTACGCAGTCTTAGCTTCCAGTGAATTTTTATGAGTATGCCACTTTGTTGGTCACTCTGATAAACTTGACCTACACAGATTGGGAACAAATCTGTTCAATTTGTTTTGTATGGCACTTAATACAGGGTTCTATTAACCAAACTTTAAGCAGTAGTATGAGGCTAACCAGAAGTCTCTATAGATCTCATCCAAGCCTCAGAGGGTCCCAGTTTCAACCAGCTGTGAGTAAATCTTAGGGGGACCAGTATGTCTTATGTTAGATGGCCAGGATGTAGTATAAATTCAGTCAATTATCCATCATTACTCACAGAAGTTTAAATGATCTTTGGTATTGTTGTCCACAACGACAGGGAATTACCAATAATACAATCTTCATTTGTAATGGAGAGACACTCATGGCTCACTTTCCCTTGCATAAAAACACAGATCACTGCAGTCAGGGATGTTGTGAAATTTGATTTGGATCACCAATACCTTGTTTCATTTAAGCCACCTGAGTAGTGTTACCAACTAGTTGCAGCCTTGATGTTACTCATGGCATAACCTTAGGATGCTAGGGCACCAGGAGAAGCAGATGAGTTTTTATCAGCCAGAGTGAAACAAGGTTGTATCAATCTGTGTGTTTGTACATATTCAAGAGGAGTCTATGTTTGAAGCTTCTCTCTTTCTTGTCTTTTTTTTTAGAGACAGTGTCCCACTCTGTTGTCCAGGCTGGAGTGCAGCGATATGGTCATAGCTCATTGCAGCCTCGAACTCCTGGGCTCAAGGGATCCTGCCACCTCAGCTAAGGCCTGCAGTTGCTAAGACTGTAAGCACGTGACTCGACATCCTCCTAATTAAAATATTTTTTTGTTGTTGCTTTGTAGAGACAGGGTCTCCCTGTATTGCCCAGGCTGGTGTTGATCTCCTGGGCTCAAGCGATTCTCTGACCTTGTTTTCCCAAGCCACTGGGATTACAGGTGTGAGCCACTGTACCCAGCCTGAAGGTTCTCTTGATGGCAGAACAGTTTGGGGCCAACCAGATCCTCATGAATTTCTCTGATTTTATAGCATAGAGATGGGGATGATGAACCAGCAGCATGTTGTATTGCTGGCTTTAGCTTCTTGTCTCAAGCAGACCATGTGATTACTTGCAAGGCTGTGGTGCTGGGACAAGGAGAGCATTAATTGCTTCTACCTCATACCTAGCACCTTTCCTGGTCTGAGGTGTTCTCTCTCTATGTCTGGGCCATTCCCTCTCCAAGTGTGGGAATTCTTCTTCTTTCCCAGCCACAAAACTGATGTGTCCACTCCACCAGTTAGAGCTTTCCTTTTCTCTAATCACCTCTGATCCAGACTTAGGATTTTTTTTTAGAAGGAAGAGGTACGCATGAGACAATGCATTTTCACAAAACTTACAGAGACTCATTATGCTCCCCATTTTGATCCATGTGGGCCATGTAGGGGAGCTCAGTGAACAGTGTACTAAACCAAGTGGTCATCGTTCTTATGATCTATGACCTTGTTAAACCCAAGAGATATTCCCAGCAGAATTAAAACTTGAATCCCCTAGGCCCACTTTTGATTGGGCTGCACCCAAGGAATGGACTAAGCAGAATAGCCCAGAGTTGCTGTCAGGGAAAGAGAAACATGGTATGCCAAGGAATGGTAAGCATTACAGGCTACACACACAGTGGGATCACATGGCAGATGAATAGCCAAGCTTGGGGAATCCGATGCTTTTATAGCAAGCAATAAATATACCTACTGTTTGATTTGGAGGGAGACATTATCTCATCCCTCGAAGTTTGATTATTGCAAACATAACCCTGAGAAACGGCCTGGGTAAAGAGTGATCAGGTCATTGCTTCTTGGCCTACCTGGCATGACCTGCAGCAGCAGGCGAGACCCATAGAGGAGTGTCTCTACCTATAGGAATCTAAGAAATGGTCCTCAGAAACTCTTTACTGTTTTCACTGGTAGGAAGTTTGTGTTAATATTACTCAGTGCCCTTGAGAAGGCCCCCAGTAAAATGTTCTGGTTTGGTCTTTGTTTCAGGAATAATTGGGCTTCTCCCTAACAATTGAAAATATTGAAATGGACACTTTTTCTTCCTTTTGGCTGCTAGAGAGGTTGAAGTGAAATGTGTGGCTCAAATCTAGCACAGTCCCTGGCACAAGTAGGTCTTCCATAAATCGTGCTAATAAGAATACAGAATTTTAAAGTGAGACGTACATTTTGTGGCTCCATTTTATTCCCCTAATGTCTTATATTTTTGTCCCATTTTCACAGCTATTTTAATTTAAAACTGTAACAAAGATCCATAACTCTTATTTCTAATAAGCTGGAATTCATCTCTGGGTCTTCTACCTTCTATTCCAGGGCTCTGCATTATGTCTAGTTCTATTCTCTTTGAAGTTAGAGAACAGCTGGTTAATACCTTTATCTCAAATGATTTTCAAAGAAGTCATTCAATCACCCTTCATCTGTCTCCTCCTTCCTTGTTAGTTCTATTTCCAATGGTTTAGTCAGTTTTGTTGTTTTTCTCTGTAATCCAGATTCTCTTGTGTTTTGTGCATGTAGACCTAGACCTTGCAAAAATAGCCTTTATTAGATGTTAATTTGAGGATTTCTTCTCATTTTCTTTCATGCCAATTCAACATTCTTAGACCTTTCAGCTAGGTATATTATTGGGTAACCAACTTAAAGCAATTTTTATTTCCACAGACAATACCATACTCATTTGTGGTATTGTCTATGTCCCTATCATTTATGTCCCTTGCCCCTCATCTTGTTTTGGATAAATCTTGTCACTATTTATTTCATTTTTTTTTTTTTTTGGAGAATTTATAGGGCTTTCTTTGTTACAAGTTCCTGTCAGAGGAAGGCAGTAAAGTGCATTGTTAGCCCCTATGTCCAGGTAAACACTCAGCACTCAGAAGCTGTCAGCAGGATTCAAATATTTTTTATTATATAAGAGTGTGATCATTTACTTGCTTAGGTAAAAAATATTAAATATAGCTGAAAATTTACTGGACCGATTGCATGGTCAAAGAGATGGCTGAAATAAAAGAAGTGGTTCATGACCAAATCTGGTCAGTGGAGTAGTGATCCAGTCGATTACTCTGTCCTGGAGCAAAACTACCTGGATAGTAGCCATTTTGTGCATGCAAAATAGTTTAGTCTGAATGGAAACATTTAACTTATTCTTTTTTAAAAAATCAACCTATGAATGAAGTTCTAAATTTGATCAGCATCATAAGAAAGTGGGGATCAGAAGTCCCAGATACTTAGAGACTAAAAATCTATTTGGGTTTCAAATAGTCTTCTGAGATTCGAATAAGAAGGACATCTGTTTAAGTGATATTTTTAAATACCCTCTTTGTTTTATGTGCTTTTGTTGAGCTTTCATTTGTTCACCATATTTCACATATTATATAATGCAATTGGTGATACCAAATTGCAAAAATTTGGTACCACCAAAATTGTATTTGGTACCAAAAATTATAAAGAACTAACAGAAACAGGAGTTATCATGAGTTCACAGATCCAAATACCTAAACCCTACTGGGACCCATGCTTAAAATATTATTTCCTTGCTTGACAATTAGTTCTGTTACCAGTTTTGAAGCAGCGAAGCATACGAGTCATTACTCTTTTCTTTATAAATAAAATCAAGGTATCTCATTGCACATAAACCTCCTCTTATATATATTTATGATAACATTTTATAGCAACTGAGAACACAGAGTATATTGTGTAAGCTAAGTCTGAAACAAATGCACATACTGAAAAAAAAGTATACGTGTAAAACTGCTTCCCCCATATTATATACTCATTACTTAAAATTAAAGGAGAGAAGTAGAACTGAAAAACAGTAAATTAAGAGACAAGATGTGGCGACTGTGAGTTGTTTCACTTGAATAGAATCAATTTTGTTTTTCTGTCTGGTTTTTGTCCCAGGAAGGAAAAGATTTAACAATCAGAATAATAAACACTTTTCACTTATAATAAGAGCAATGTGACCGTGGTTTTGGTTGTGCAAAGTATCTGGGTTTTATACATTATTTCCACTTTTCAAAACTGTGGCTAAAGAGAAATTTATTCTAAATGCATACCAAAATGGGAAAGTTTTAAAAACTAGAATTCATTCTTTAATATATATGCTGCCTCCCATTTCAGTCAACGTCGGCAGCAAAACCAGTGTTGGCAGTTTTACCAACTGTTTTTCACCAGTTCAGTTGGGTCTGGCTTTCCATTGTTAATATAGTACTACCGATCCTTAATTCATAGAACCACAGGGGAATGTTTAAATAAAAGAACACTCGATTTCATAGTAGTTTTTAAATGAAAACATATGTATCTGTAATAGGGCTTTAAAAGTTTTTTTTTTTTTTTTCCTCAGTAAGACTTAATGTGTGGCATCTGTTAGGTATAGGGTGTCTTTTTCAGTTTTTCTGAAAAGGTACAGTAGACCCAGGAAAGTTAATAGTTTCGATGTCTATATCTCAGGTGTTACTGGGATTAAGAATGCCCAAGGAAGATTATTGTCAGTTATTTCTCCTTCGTTAGATAATCCCTTATATATTTTAGAAGAGAAGAAGCGAGATAAGAAAATCTCAAAATACTTTTTCAATACTGGTTGGTTTAGAGAAGCTCACCTTCAAAATTTGATATGCACATTGCGTTTGACGAGATAGGTAAATAAACCTGTCTCATCGGGGACTCTTATGAAGTATTTTAAGGTTCCTTTGAAGGGTATCAGTGTTTGGGCCCATAATTGCTAAACTTAAAATCAACATTGTATGTTACTCTCTTACTAACAGAGTGAGGGTTGACAAACTACCCTAATTTAGAAAAATATAAAAATGGATAATTCATAACCATTAAGATGACATATTTGGTCTCTTGCATCACCTAAATTTCCCTCTAAGTCACAGGATTTATTTTTATTTATTTATTTATTTTTTTGACCGAGTCTCTCACTATCACCAGGGCTGGAGTGCAATGGTGTAATCTCGGCTTACTGCAACCTCCGCCTCCTGGGTTCAAGTGATTCTCCTGCCTCAACCTCCCAAGTAGCTGGGATTAGAGGCACACACCACCACACCTGACTAATTTTCTGTATTTTTACTAGAGATGGGATTTCAATATGTTGGCCAAACTGGTCTTGAACTCCTAACCTTGGGATCCGCGTGCCTCAGCCTCCCAAAGTGCTGGGATTATAGCCATAAGCCACCGCACCCAGCTGTCACAGGATACTTATTAAGATCCCTCTCTTTCTTCTTTAGGATTCCCAAGTAACTTGTCTCTGCTATTTTTAATGTGTATGACCAAATAAATTCAAAATGAGCCCAGTGAAAATAGGCTAAGGTCAAACATTGTATACTCCTAATATCTCCTAGCACTCCCCCAATATCTCCAAATATGTTGGAGGGATTGAGATGGACTCAAAACTTATTAGAGAATCTTGAATACTGTGGGCAATGTAAAGCCCTCTCCTATCAGTAATATTTCTTGCTGCCTTAGGAGGCAACTAGAATATGAGGATGGTAATGATACAGAGGTCAGTTATATGCCTTTATTTTCCCCATATTTTGAGAGCTGCATATGGTATATATCTGCCCATAAATTTATGTATGCATATTGTATATACATCTGGGTGCATATATTGAAAGACAGTATAGCGGAGTGGTTAGGGAATGGGTCTGGAAGTCAGATTACCTGAGTTTGAAGCCAGGCTCTTTCACCTGCTATTTGTATAACCTCGGACAAGTTAGTTACATAACCTCTCAGTTCTTCAGTTTCCTTATCTGTAAAATGATATAATAAAATTATGTACCTCATGGAGTGGCTGTGAGGATTAAATACATTTATACGCAAAAAGCACCTAGAACAATGCCTGTAAAATGATAGGAATTCAAAAATTGTAGCCACTTAACAATATATTGTATGCATTATTATATACATCATCTGGATACATACATATGTATATATAATACATAATTACCTTGCCTCCAAAATAAGACAATTTCATATACATTATATATATATAAATGCCATATATATATACACACACACACTCCATATATAGCACATTTCGATTTTCTTTGAAATTTCAGTTATCTAATGACCAACATGAGTGTGAATAGCAACATAGCTGATAACTGTCATGAACATAGTATACATTTGATATTTCATATCTTCCTATTTAATGAAATAATACTTGCCACTGAAAACTGGCCCTAACATAACATGTACATGGCATCAAGGTGAAGTGAAAAAGCTCAAGCGTGGCACTGACCAAGTTTGGATTTGTATCCTGGGTCAACCACTTAAAAACTGCATGGTCTTGGACAAGTCATTTAACCTTTCTGAGCTTTAATCTTCTCATCTGAAGAACAGGGATGTAAAATTTCTTGCAAGTTTTTGGTGAGAAGGAGAGACAAAACACATTTTTAAAAAAGCATTTGGCCAACATCCTGGTACATAGCAAATGCTTGATAAATGGAAATGTTGATCTTTAATATGTCTGTCCCACTACAAATTAGGGTATTTTTTTTAAAGCCCAACACAAACAAACATCCCACTGGGAGTTTTTGATCAGCTATGCTGTTGCTGGATAATGATCATGGTTTAGTCTTAAGGGCATGTGGTTTCAATAACTATCCGTGGTTGGAAGTTATGCTGCCCGTAGGAACGAAAGGAGGAAAGGGGTTGGTGTAATTCAAGTTTCACCAGTATCTCACTAGGCAGTTTTGGAACTTTGTGCCTTCTCTCCCTCCCGCTTCCCTTCTGCTGCCAGTAGGAATCCTGGTGGTACCAGAAACTGTTACACTCATGAAGCAGTAGAGGCTGCAAATCTGTGGAGGTGGCACTGCTCTGCTTGGTGGGGTTTGGCCAAGCAGGTAGGTTAGTAACCTACTGGTCAGGTGCCCAGAGGACTTTTTCTTCCCTGGGTGTTGTCTGAGAGAAAGGGATTACAACCCAGTGGATGTTCACTGTAAATGAGAATCCCATTTCAAAAGTTAAGTATGTTCACATAAGTAGTAGCAAGGGGCAACTTTTTTTTGTAGTTGGGCCCCGTTTGCTTCTTGCACAGTATTTAAGGAACTGGGCCTGACATAGCTAACTTTGTAAAGCAACTACATGTGTATTATGAGAATAAACCTCAACAAACAACAACAACAACAACAAAAAGAGAAGAAACCATTCATCATACACCGGAAACTCTTAGAATAAAAGTAACACTTAAATGTAATGTGGAGTATGATCATTGACGAATTCTTATGCCATATAGGCACGTGGCTCCGAAGCATGGTAGAGAAAATGTAAGGAAAGGAAACATATAGGAAATGTGTTTCATGCACGCACACACACAGAATGTTTTCACACAGTTGATGAAGCCACATTGAACCAGCAATTTGAATATTATTATTATCCATCTCTCTCATTAAATACTTAGGAAAGCATAGTAAAATTGGTTAAGGATGGACATTTAGATTGCTATATCCAGAGTTATATCCAAGCAGCAAATGATTACACTGCTTATAAATTCTAGGCAGACGATAAGTTAGAAGTCCCCACGAAAGCCCTGAGCTTATTTGATTGTTCTCTTAATTACTGGGCTCTATGCTATCAAATATTTGTGTAAGAGGAAGCTTTTCTTTGTGGGAGTGGATAATAGCTGTGCTTACACTTTGAAATTTTTGCCTTGAGTTATTAAGATTTACATTTCTCACTTTTCTTCCAGGGAAAGGTGTTTAGCCGTTTTTAGAAAACAGGTACCACATAATCAATCGTCAAACACTCGGGAAAGTTTCCGCCCTAGACAAGTGTAAATCTCAGGTATTAGCAACCCATCTCCAGAAACAAATCTACAAAGGGTGGAAAGGGGGAGAAAGGATGTCTCACTTTCCTAGGTGAATATATTGTGATTGGTATGTGTGGCATGCATTGAGAAATTATATTTGCTTACTAACTGCCGTTTAGAAATCAGCCCGGAAAAAGTCTGGGAGAGATCGCCCGGAGACAGCCAAGCCCCGAGCCTCGCTCCCAAGCTCCTCCGGTGTCCTGCTCTTCTAGGCGCGTTAAGAATACAGAGTCTGGTCATTGATCTCCTGATGGTGTTGTTGCACTCTGGGTAATGCTGGGGGTGCCCAGGGACGCGGCTCAGTCAATGGTTGCGCGTCTGCGGAGAATTACAGAGATGGGGACAGAGAACACGCACCTTGGCATAAAAGCAAACGGAGGGAAGGCTACAGCGAGGAAAAGAAACGTGTTGCTCGAAATTGTTTCCTTAGTCCCCTTTCCATCACCCCCTTCCCAACCCGCAGCCTCCCGCGTGAGTGCTCTCCCTTCCCCCTGCTCTTTTCTGGACACCAGCTCTGGGAAGATCACTGTCAGGAACCCCCGCCCCCGCCCCACCCTGGTTTGAGATTTAATAGGATTTTTTCCCCTGGCAAACCGGCAGCTGTTTTAAGTCAATGAAAGTAAGATTAGAAGAGATAAGCGCCGGAGCAGCCCGGGAGCTGTCAGAGCATACACTTAAATCAGCCCCACAGCTTCTGCTCGGGGCATCACCGATGGAGTTTCTTCTGATGGCGATGGGACTCCGAGGGTCCACGCGCCCACTCAAGTGTCGCGGCAGAGAGTCGGAGCCCAGCGCTCAACCTTATTTCTCCCTAAATATCACTAAATTTCATTCCCTGGTTCTTGGGTTGGGGTGTGTATGTGTGTGTGTGTGTGTGTGTTTGTGTGTGTGGTCTTTTTTTTTCTTTTCTTCTTTTTTTTTTTTGGCTTCGCTCAACACAAAACCAAACCAGTTCAACCACCCCGCAGGCAGAGATGAGAGCGCCTCAAAACTTTTCTCCCCTACCTCAATGCCCAAGGAGTAGGTGGGTGCACAGTGCCGGCGGCGGCGGGGACGCGCGGCGCGGAGCCGGGCTCGGGCAGGCAGTGGCCGCTTCAGCAGCCGAACCTCTCGCGGCTCCAGCCTCCGCGCCCAGCAGCCCGCGGCTCGCCTCCCGGAAAGGTTCCACGGACCGCGCAGCCCCCCGCGCGCGCCCTCCTTGCCGGCCCGACCGCTTCACCACTGGGCTGGGGGGCCGGGAGGGGCCAGGTCCTGGGCGCAGGGCAGCGGCTGAGGCTCCGGCGCCGGGAAGAAGTTGACAAAGGGACTTGACTAAACATGAATGCGTATTTATAGATGCGAGCTCCATCGAGATCTAGAGATATCCCGCTCTCCCTGGCTCCTTCCACTCCTGCCATTTCATTTTTATCGCTCCTTTAAGTGGAGGGCAGATTAAAAAAAAAAAAAAAAATTCCTGCACGGTGTGGGTAATCGCCGCGTTATTTACAATCTAGTTACTCTGCAGCAGACGGGGAAGAAAACTCTGGGGCTCCTTCCCTTCGGATGGATAGAGAGGGCGGCCGGGCGGCGAGCTGCAGGAAGGAGGTCAGGGTGGGCTTGCGGGAGCTCGGGGGCGACCTGGAGGGAGCGGGAGCCCCCGGCGCCGCCCCCGCGCCCGCTCCCGCCCCCGCCGCACCCCCCGGGGCGGGCGCCGGGCCGCGGTGACCGCCGGCTGGTGCGCTGCCCTCGCCTCCCCCATTGTTCCTACTGTCTTTTTGCCTTTTGTTATTTGCACTCGCATTGTGTTGTTTGTCTCTGAAGCCGCCTCATGACCAGCAAAGGGATTTCACCTCGTCCTTGAGAGCAACACGGGGAGCGCGAGCGAGCGGGCGAGCGAGAGACGGGGGGAGAGAGAGGGACACGCGCGCGCACACACACACACACACCGGCACACACACACACACACAGACACACACACACACAGAGTGAAAAAGGCGAGCCACCAAAACCCATCTCCAGTCTCCTCCCGGGGGCCCCCAGCCCGCCTCTGTGCCACTTTGCATCCCACGCCGGAGGAGGCATTAACGAGACCGGGTAAGGTGCGTGAATCGCTGCGTTTTAACTTTGTTGTTCGTCCCGATGTTGTTGTGGGCAGACCTCCAAGGCGCAGAGCTCCCCTCTGCCGCTCGCCGGGCCCGCCACTCAGCACTCGTTCCCGGCTCCAGCTGGAGAGCCGCGGAGGAGGGAGGGGGCCGCCGCCGGAGTTTCCTCAAGTACAGAGGGAGGGGGACTGGGTTGGGGGTGACGGAGAGGTGGGAGGCGGCCCGAGGCGCGGAGTGGCCCTGTCATCCCCGGGGGCGGCTGGCCGGGGGACCCTGGAGCGCGGGCTTGGACCCCGACCCGGAGACGGGATAACTTTCTATTTTTGTTGGGAAGCCTGCGTACTGTTGCTGGTATTGTTTTGTAAGTGGTGGCGGTGGAGGTGGTTGATGCGAGAGGAGGGCAGGAGTGCGGGGAGAACCCTGGGCTGTGCTGGGCATCGCGGCGAACGTCCAAGGCCAGACCCTAAAAGTTGGACAAAGCCCCTTAGCCCTTCTAGGATATCAGAGCGACCCCCGGCCCACCCCCTAACCTTAGTCACCCCCACCCCCCGACTCTTTCGTCTTTTTGTTTCGCTTTCTGCAATCCTTCTCCCTACCATTCCCCCTCCCTCCCGCCCGGAATTTCGGAAACAAGTCTCATCCTTCAGGATTCTAGGGATTTCAGAGACCGGAAGCTTTAATTTTAATTGCAACTACTTTTTTTCCCCCTCCTCACTCAGTGTACAAAGTGAAGACCACTCACGTGTTGTGTCACTTTAAGCGCGGGTTTGGGAAATCTCGCTTGCACTTTCGGGCTACAGCAATAAGAAGCAATGAAAAGAGGTTATACGAGTTGAAATCAAATTGGATTTGGAAATGTTTGCGTTGGAGAGCAGCAGTTTGTTGAGTATTGATCGGATGCACACGAAGCACTGTTTACATATTTTAGTAGTCATTTTCCCTACACTTTGCAAAGCGACTATATTAATAAATAGATTGACCCTGGTGAATATCTGAAGACGTTGGTTTCTGTGACTAAATTCAGAATGTGATGAATGTGAATTCATTTTAATGTGTTCCCTTCTCAGCTAAAGCAGGTCAAGACGAGAAATCCTGTGAATATGCAGAACCCTACACTCGGTGCCAGGCAGTCCAGGCACTCTGGGTGGCAGTCAACTGTACTTTCTTACAAAAGTTTAGGGATTTGCTGGAACCCAGTTGAGATCCTCACATACCCAGATAGCCAAAGGAGTTTGTCAAGAAAGGCATAAGGAGATGTCCCCAGGGACTGCCTTCTGGCTCAGCACAGTTCTTTAGCCAAGGGCAGGACCGAGTGGGATTTGGGGCAGTAAGTGTGGGAATCTGCAAAGGGACTGGACAGTGATTTGTTTCCTTGCTTTTCATAAATAATGGCCCCTAGTATCCTGAAAACACACACACAAACACACACAAACAGGCCAATGAAGTAGGCACGTGGGTGATTTTTAGGCAATGGACATTTCCATCAGAAAAACCAGAGGAGAATTTTTGATCAGGATTACGGGAGTGAGGCTCGATGGCCAAGAGTGATTAGGTTAAGGGCCAGATGGCTTTAAAGTATACGGAAATGTTTTTCAAGTTTGACTTTTATAGCATTTAAAAGGAGGACGATTTCTTAGAGCCTTTACAGAACTGCTAAATTTTGATCTGTCTAATTTTAAAGGAATTCAGCTGTATGAGAATTGCTGTTAGCTCAGATAGGGAAGGAATCTGGTTTCAAATGCAGATACATGGAACAAAGTTTCTAGGGGTGCTTCTTCCTGATTTAAATATAGCTCCCAGGCAGAAGCCTAGATAAATTCAGCCACAATGATTTAAAATCATAAGTACTTACAGTGGCAGTTCTTTTAGGCACTGTGCAGCGTTCTCCTGCAAATTATGCCATCAACTGTTTATTCCTCAGAACTATACAAGATAAAAATCATAAGCATCACTTAAAACTGATGCAATACAGCCTTAAATCCTTAAACTGCTAGGGATTGCTTTTGTTTGCCTAAAAGGTAGATCTTTCATCACATGAGTTGTTTAAAAACATTTAATTGTGGGGGTGGGAAGGGATGTGCATAATTATTTAGTTGTTTGTGTTAATTACATAGTAGCATACTTGCTTGAAATTCTTTCTTTTTTCCCCCCTTTCTTTCCAGTGGTCTCTCTTCTAACAACCTTGTTCCTGAAGAATCAACAGTTTTTTGTTTGCTGTGGTTTTTAAAAAATTCATTTTGTAGCCTTTTTGAATGGGTAGTATTGATCCAATCTGACACAGACTTGCAAGTGTAAACTCTTAATACGGGAAAAACTTCAATTCTTAATATGGAAACCTTGTATTAGTTTTGTTGTTGAGCTTAAACAGTTCTGGTTGAATGGGATGTTGTATACAGAATTCAAAACTCCCAAACCTCTTTGGTAAATAGGCATTTGAGGTCCAATGGCTAATTCAAATTAACTTAGTTGTATACATGTAAGTGCACATCCTGTTTAGACTGACACGTGGTTTGGTAAAAGAAAAAAATATATACACTTAGAAAGATGCTATCTGTGGAGTATATAAATAGTAAATAGCAAAAGAGTGAAGTTTATACTCAGGTATGTTGGCATGTTTTTGGTTGTCCTCAGTGGGGGTGAGTTGTGAGTGATAAGGAGAATTTAAATTTCTAAATTTTACCTTTCCAGTTAAAGGAATGAATTTAAATGCTTAAAGAATTTTTTTTTTCTTACTTACAAAGCAAGTTTAAAATTTGATATAGTGCTTACGGGATGTACTGCCTTCTTAAAAAGCTCTGTTCTTTTCCTGAGTAATAAGTAATTATTGATTTGAGGGTATGTTCAGATTATATAAAAAAGTAAAACTTACAGGACAAAATTTATGTTTCCTAATCTCCTAAAATACACTGGATTTCAAATAACGGAGAGTTCTAATGTTGCACACTGTTTAGATTTCCAGAAGCTACAATTGTTGGATATAATTGATTGGCATAACCTGGATGATTCACCCAATAGCTAATCAACTTCACTGGTAGAGAATGCTATAATTAGAGTTTTGAGAGTAACCTGGAAACTTATTTGTCTAGGCCTGAAGTCAAATGCATTCCCTCACGCACTGGTCAAAAATTTTTAGTCTGAGAAATGAAGATTTATTTTAAAGGCGAAGAAAGTGGTTGGCTGTTTCAAATAAACTATATCCTGAACTTAGATTTGTAGATAGTTAATGAAATAAAAGTCCAATTTTGTTCCAAACATTGTTTTAAAACACCCATTTGTAAATTGTCTACATTTGGTTTTCATATGTTAATGATTTGGGATCTGAAACTTATTTCAGAAAGGCATTTTGGTTTATCTTAAAAAACACCACACAAAACTGTCTAAACAACTCTGTAAATAAACTGTTCCAAATGCCTCAATTTGATGAATGAATTAAAGAATTATGGTTCTTAATCCAATTATGATCAGTCTGGTTATTCCATTTCCCATTTGGGGGAGCTTGGGGAGTTGGAATAGTAAATGATTCTCAAATGTGAGTGGGGTTTTTGTTGTTTACTTTGTGTGTGTGATGTAACGTAAATAATCACTTATACCTAATATTTATGAGAGGGATTTCCGATGTGGAGAAGTAATTTCATGATCTTAAATTAACCAAGAGTTCGTTTGCATGAAAAGTTGATGTTAATAAAAGAGTAAAGTGAGGTTTTTAAAAATATGAAGCAAAGATTTAACCTTTTTCTTAAATATAATGAATTTTGATATTTAAGAGGGGAGAAATGGAGTGCTTAAGGATCAGTAGAAGGGCAGACAATCAGGCACTTTTAGTTTGCTTTAGCAGGGCCATATGGGGACATTTCTGTAGGACTATTTAATAAATTTTACCAAATTCAATTTCCTTGTCTTTAAAATTGAGTCAAGGTCAAAGGTAGGCTAACTTTAGTTAGGGGAATTTTGGGGGGGGTTATTTCCTCCAAAGACCTGCTCCTTTAGCTGCCTACATGGGACTTTTGAATGCTTTCCCAGTGAGGGTCCTGACCTTCAGGATGGGCCCTTGACAGTCCATTTTGCCTTGATGGACCCTTCTGAATTCCTG